ATAGGGTTAAACAAGAAAGCTTTTTTAACCCTCAAACACCCGAACTTATTTTGTGACGTTAATGCCCGAACGGGGTCCAAATGGACCCTATTTGGTTTCTTTCAAATTTATATTCCTTTTTGCATCCTTCAAGTGACCTTTACACATATATTGGTTAAACATATTAAGACGTTCATTTTGGCATGATTAAGTGTTTAAAAATTCCAGCTCATTAAAATAATTTATGCAAAAATAGGATGAGGCCCGAAGGGATGGACATGGGGTTGACCTTTGACCCTACTGATTGTCAAATTGTCAAACCTCTTAAAACCTGATGAAATAATTCCTGAGGTTGAGATAACTTGGCCAGCTGCATAATATTAAAGCAATAATGCTTCCTTGAAGACATATGAGGACATCCGAACAATTTCGTGTGAAGGAAAGTGAAAATACAAGTCTGATGTAAGTCCGTTTGGACCCCAGAAGGTCTTATATCAATCTTCCGTTATTATTTTTACAAATTTGTGCCGATCTCAAAAAAAATTTAGGGGAACTTGTAGAAGAGGTTTATCGACAAAGTCACGTGAGGAATTTTTTAAGAATAAATAGCACATAAAAATATACGTCTGGGGTCCAAATGGACCCCGTTCGGGTGTTTGAGGGTTAAAAAAGCTGACATTTCTTGAATAATTGTAAATGAAGGAACACGGTGTCAATTGAAGTGCACTTTCTATAAATTAAAACTTAGTTGATTGACTAGTATGCATGTATGTGCAGCAACATTAGCTTCATGTGGCATAATGTACTATTAATAACAAATACAATAGAGCTGAGTCAGAGAACAGTATTGCTGTATAAGCTAATTGTCAATTAAAATAAACTCAAAACCAACGGAAATTCAAACTTGTCTTGTCTGGTTTAATGTGTCTACAAACCGGACATGTGGTAGTCATATCTAACGGGGTACTTTGAGCGTGTAATTTTTTTTGCCTTCGACGAGAAGGCTATGAAATCGGTTTCGGCCTGTTTTGTAGATTATGCACGGTAAAGTTTGAAGGCATGGTCCGAGGTTCACGATTTTTGGCAGGCAGGTTGATTTGGGGGTGGCCATTGTCAAGGCTAAAATGGGCTTCGTGGGGGGTTCCTAAGTCACTGTAATTGACCTTGGTTTTTGGTGTTTTTTTCCTTGTCATCAAGATATCTCGAGTATCCTTAAATGGATGTTCATGATTTTTAGTGGGCAAGTTACCGTTGAGAATGCCGAGGTCAAGTTCAAAGATGGGCCCCGTGGGGGTTTCTATGTCACTGCAGTTGACCTTTGTTTTTTGTGTTTTTCCTTGTCATCAAGATATCTCGAGAATCTTTAAATGGATGTTCATGTTTTTTAGTTGGCAAGTTACCATTGAAAATACCAAGGTCAAGTTCGGATATGGGCCTCGTGGGGGGTTCCCATGTCATTGATTTTGACCTTTTGTGGTGGTCGTTATTGTTGTTAGCGGGATAATTCGAGAATCTGCAAATGGATGTTCACGATTTTTTGCGAGCAAGTTACCGTTGACGATAGCAAGATCAAGTTCGGAAATGGGCGTCGTGGGAGGTCCGTACGTTACTGCAGTAACACTGGTCGCTTTAAATTTAGAAAAGACACCAGCAACCCCAAGTATGAAATTCCAGGCAGTTAGCATTATGGAATTATTACATTTTCTCATTAATTATTTTTTTTAAGTTGAGCTTAATCCATGTTAGAAGATTGCCGCAGAAACCATACATCTGCAGTTGTATGTGGACTAGTAAGGCATGGGAGACTGATTCGAACGCCTTTGCAGAATCTATGTCATGTCAACATGTCAACTTGGCCGCCTTTGTCAAGAACTGAACCAACTTGGTGGTACACTTCCAACAACTGAGTGGTGGTTGACCGACCTTTCATGAAACCGTGTTGTAGATTATGAATTGACGCATGAAGCTTTGGAATAATGCTGTCATGAACGCATCTTTCCATTGCTTTGCTTACTATGGAAGGTAGGGATACAGGCCTGTAGTTAGAAATGATCTCTTTGTCCCCCTTCGTATAGATGTGAGTGACATGGGCGATTTTCCAATCCGTGGGAAACTTTAGTTACCAAAGGACATAGATTTGTTAAATAGTAGAGTTACGAATGGCGCGAGGATGTCTGCACATCTCTTGGATTGGAGGCATTGCGTCTGGGCCAATGGCCTTGCTAGGATCAAGTTTGGCAAGCACCTTCTGGACAGTATCTACGGAAAACTGCAAGTTGCACAAATCATCGTCATACAAAGTTCGTGTCTGGCATTGAAAACGTGGAGGAAAAGTAATCATTAAACATGGATGCTTTTTCCATCGGTGACTGGGCAATAATACCCTCTAGTTGAACCACTGATGGAATAGACTTAGCTTTGGACTTGGCCCTAACAAATGCCCAAAATTGCTTTGGAGATTCTTTAAGGATTGATGACAAGCTAACGAGGTAGCGCTTATACTTTTTAGACAGCAGATTTTTTTTCAGTTTGTTGCGCAGCTTGCGGAACTTTGCTCAGTGTGCGGGGGAATTTGACCGTTTCACCTTCCTCCACGCTGACTGCTTGCGGTTTTGAAGTTGTCAAACATCACTGTCAATCCAAGGCGGGACTGTTGAATCCTTGAGCTGACGTGTACGGCAAACTTGTCTTCTGTCATGGCTAAGGTCCAGCGAGAGTACCGTTCGTACTGTCTCCTAGGCGACTTTAACATCCCTCGGGTCGACTGGCATTACTGTGTAGCAGAAGGTGAGGGGAAAGAGGCAGACCTTTGCAACTTAATCAACAATAACTTTCTCCACCAACACAACCAAATTCCGTCAAACAAAAATAACAACGTACTGGACCTCATCTTCTCCAACTGTCCTGAAAGTCTGTCAAACATTGTAGAGCTACCTGCTGACTTCAACACAAATCACACTACCCTGGAGTTTAGTGTCAAGTATAATACTCTCCCGAAAAGAGGCATTCCACGCAAGGTGAATTCCAACGACAATATGACTTCAAACGTGCTGACTGGGAAGGCCTAAGAACTCAGTTGTTATTGAACAGCACCATGACATCGATCTTGCTTGGCAGTCTTGGAGTACCAACGTCCATACAGCAATTGACTTTGTTATAGTACTTGTTTAAGATGTTTAGTTTTAAGCTTTTGGTGCATTGTTCAGGCTTACGGTTTATCAACAGTGTGAGTCCGCACGTGCAGTGACCTTGTAGTGAAATGCCTGCTGCACTCCTCACGCCTGTACAGCTTCTCACCTGCATGAGTTCTCCTGTGTTCTTTCAGATGACCCAGACGAGTTTACTACACTCATCACAACTATATTGCCTCTCATCATAAAAAAGCAATCACTTGGACAGTAACGATAATGACAACAACATATTACGTGTTTGAATATATTGTTGAGACCGAGATCAAAGGGATTGTTACCTGCATACAATGTGGGCTGTATCGTTTCGGCAGACTGTCTAATCTTATTTAATGAAAGGTGTGTGAAACTACATCAAACACCTCCTTCCAGCGTCAAAGTTTTTGGCGAATTCCTCAATTAACACGACAAGCCATGGATAGTATCAAAATCTTGTAGCTGTTACCTAGGTTACACTAGACACAATACCCTAGCACACCAGTCACAGTAGCTTAACACATTAAACACAATACCCTAGCACGCCAGGCACAATAACCGTTTGAACAACGATTTTCTCTGGCACTTTCCGTCAACAATAAAATGTTTAGAGTCTATGGTTGAAGAGCTGGTAATAGTATACCGGTAGAGGCTAAACACCACGTCCAGACATGAAGCCTTTGTTGCCGTAGCCTACTTAAGCTACAATGCTCCACAGGTGTTTGTAGAGGAATTCACGGTGTCGGATAACTGGTTAACAATATGATCATTCAGTCTGAACAAACTCCCAGTATACACTGTGTAAAAGTTTTTAAAGCATACAATGTTACATGAATATAGTTTGTAAACCATGCGTTTGCATACGAGATCACTCCAATTCAGTATGGCGACCTTCGAAGGTAAACTACGAAAAATATCCTTTTGTATGTGAATTCTATGTGCAGTATTGTACATGGAAGGAAATACATGTACAGTGTCTTGATTTAATTCTAGGCTCATCCACACCTGCCTGTGAACGCCTGACATTTTGACAAATGACATTCATTACAACGTCTTTACAGGAAGTACAAAGAACGGCGGACCTCAGCTTAACGTCCCGTCTGATCCTTACGAGTAACCATTATACAAGTCTCACGCAAGTCGGCTGAGCGACGGCATTTCAAATGTATTCGATACTGTCTTGGAACCAGAAAAGGAGCTGCCTGGAGATAACCAAAGAACCACAAAGACTATCTGTATACGTTAGCAACAAATCTCATGATCTTGTGCCCTAGAGAAAACTCACAAAAACATAGAGGTAACGTATAGCTCCAGGACCGACGCTGGTTTTAGAACGTGTCAATGATGGCGCTGGTTCTTTACGTGTTTCTAGCGTCTGTGTTTCTGCGGCCGAGTCTGTGTTATCTCACGGAGAAGGAGATTTTGCAAAGACTGGAGACGAACATGACCAGTCCAAGCGTGTATAATACCCGGCTGACACAGCATCTCATCGCACGGTACCAGGTAAGGTTTACGTAAAAGTAAAGAAGTGTTATTTGATAGCAAACGGTGATGGGGTAAGGAATCGTTCCCGAGTGGCGTTCCTAAACCCTGATTCTCTTGTGGGGTCAAATATGGCCCTTTAATACTCTCAAGTGAGTCAAGCTTGTCTTTAGCATTGACATTTCTGAATTACATTCGTCGTAGGTCGTCGTACGATTTTGAAGCCGTGAATTTTTTTTTATTTTTTTGCATTGTCGGAACAAAAAAAAAATCTTTATTTACTAGAATCTCAAATTCACCTGCAGGCCTCTTTTCATTGGCGTCATACGAGAAGGGGTAAGGCAGGTTCAGGCAGGCTTTGACAGAACCAAGTACCGACAAGGCTCTAAAATTCTAAAGAAGAGCCTTTTTTTTGTAACAGAAAAACAACGGAATTTTCGAATTCCAGGACACAAGTACTGATATCCCCATAATGCCCCTAGTCTGTGATCGTCGGACGTATGTGGCCATAGACCCTAGAATAGGGACCCCGTTCCCGCCGGTTCCGTTCATATGTAGCCTTAGTTACGTGGTGACGATTGACTACGTTAAAACGGCTGTATTCATCTCAGGCTCTAGGTAAAGAGGACCGAATTTGGAAACAAGTCATGGTACAAAGTCATGCATTTTGAGGATCCATGATGACATGAAGAGTCTATAACCATTGCGTTAGGTTAAGGGGCTGCCGTACAAGTCTTCAGATTGCAATTTTGTTTTTGAAGGTCGACCATCGCCTGCAGTGCTCTCAGCTCTGCTATCTAACCAGAGACTGTCAGTCCTACAACTATTACGAGGATGAAGGCGTCTGTGAGCTGAACGATCTTATCTACATCCAAGGACTCGTCAGATTTTCCTTCACAACCGGACAAGACCCCGGGTGGGACTACTACGATCGCCATTCGTTCTACATGATCAGGGTGAATATTAATCTCCAAGCAGATCATACGGTGGCAAGGAAGTATCCATTGGCCAGAGGAGTGTCCATCAGCCACCGATGGTGGACGTACAAACTCCTCTGGCTAATTGATACTGTCTTGCCACCGGAAGGGATCTGCTTGGAGATTAGGTGAATACATGCTTTGTTTTGCACAAATTCTGAATTATAACATAATTTTTGTCTCTGTAATTTTTTTGTGTCTAAATAAAGCATTCCTCACACCAGTACGGTTGCTCACTTTCTTAACTCAATAGATGACTTAAAAAAGGGAACATATTGATTTTCAGAATGTTGAAACAGAAAAATGCACATAGCTATGTATAACCATGAATTTAAAATCATGGTATAACTATATAGGTAGGGAGATATATAACCATGTAGCTATACAGCAGTTTTCACTTATAAATCACAATATGTTTGTGTTTTAATTTGTATTTTAATTTGTATTTTAATTTGTATTTTAATTTGGATTTGGATTTGTATTTTGATCTGTCCTTGAATTTGTATATTAATTATGGCTACACCACTATGTGGTGTAGCCATAATAAACTTTCCTGCTCAATTCACGCATTTGACATACATGACTTAAAATTGTGTAAAATAGGGCTTTTTGTCCATTTTCGGACAAAATCTGTACATTTTGGGTCCTGGTATTACACTAAACTCATCTGAAAATTGGTTTGGGTATGCTTTATATATCTACCAACAACAATTAATTGTAATTTTTGGCATAATTTCCCTTCAACTTATAAAATTTGGGACTTTTGAACCGTTTTTAGGTCACAATTTATGATATAGTTGGAGATTACTATACATTAGTCATCAGTCTGGCACGCAGAGCAAGAACCAAAAGGCATGAAGCTTTCCTCTAATCTTCTTGTTGATTGGCTGTTGGAATTTGATTGAGTTAACTCCATGAACAGCTGCATACCATATTAAAAGTAGGTACTTCATTGAAGTGTTTTGGTAGGTATGTCAAACTTTCCTGCTCAAGCATCAGAATGTGGGGCATAAACCCTTTTTTTATCTTGAAAATCAACAGTTTGCATCATGCAAAAAATGCTTATCAATAATGTAGGGATAGCTATCCAAATGTTGTATTCGTAGTTATATGTCACTCATAATAGCACCACAAGTACCACTGGCCACTACTTTATTGTTACACAGGAATTGATTTACGACGATGATTTATTTACTTATTTATTACGACTAATCTTCTACGTAACATCCGTGTCCATAATATCACCAGGGTCCATTATATCGCCACCTAATTTTCCTAGATATAAAATTTAGAAAAAGTTCTGTATGCCCTTGCGACTTAAAATGTAGGTTTTTCATTTTGTCATTCATATCGAATGATTCTAACCCCCCTGTAGGCGTGGTGGTATGAATGTCCCGGGTACAACCCGTGCCAGAACGGAGGAGTGTGCACCCGGAAGGTCCTGGGCGGTTCGGGGGGAGAGAGACCGCCGTGCGCCCCGCTCTGCGTCTGTCCCGTGGGCTACTCCGGACCTCACTGCAGCAGTAAGTTTGTTTTTACCTTCGTAAAGAGGGATATGTTTTTAGATATCATTACATAGCTTTAAACAATGTTTAAAGTTAGATAATCAAGGGTTAGGTGTAACAAGTCGTTGGGTATAAAGTAGCTAGCTGCCGCCCCGCCGCGTGCCTGCGAATCTGGTGTATTACGCCGAAGGACGACTATACCGGCTACAGAATGATATTATTTGTATGTATGTAAAAACTATGTATGTATGTATGTATGTATGTATGTATGCATGTATAAATCTATGAATGTATATATGTATGTATGTATGCATGTCTGAATGCATATATGTATGTATGTATGTATGTATGTATGTATATATGCGTATGTATGTATGAATGTATATATCTATGTATGTATGTATGTATGCATGTATGAATGTATATATGTATGTATGTACGTGTGTATGTATGTATATATGTGTGTGTATGTATGAATTTATATATGTATGTATGTACGTGTAAATGTATGTATGTGTATGTATGTATGAATGTATATATGTATGTATGTATATATGTGTAAATGTATGTATGTGTGCATGTATGTAATGTATGTGTGTATCAATCGGACTTCAGTCACATTAGGACACCACAAATGCATCTCACCGTCATGCTGATGGACGAACGACATGTATGAAGCTATGTATGTTGGATTAGCACGATAACTCTAGTATGTATCGATCGATGGTAGAAACTTGGTAAATGGGTACCAGTGGGTCTTGGTTAGACCTCGAAATGATTATACTAGTATATGATGTCTGGCTATCTAGTGACCTTCGCGATGTTATTTCGTTCTTATTTACTTATTTTCTGCCAACAGTTCAAGACTGTCAGGTAGGCAGGGGAGCGTCCTTCCGAGGAAAAGTCCCCGTCACGAACACAGGCAGGATCTGTCAGCGCTGGGACAGCCAGATGCCACATGGACACGGGAAAACTCCTTCGGGCTATTCGTCATCCGGACTTGAGCGGAACTACTGCCGGAATCCGGACGGCGGGAACGGAGTTTGGTGCTACACCATGGATCCGGACAGGAGATGGGAGCTGTGTGACGTGCCGCAATGTTAGTTATAGCTAAAGACCATTTCCTTTTCGTAGCCCTTTCGTAGTACAAAGTTGTAAAATCACCACAGCAGGGGGTTACTCCACTGGTAGTGGTGTGGGTTTAACTCGCTTAGTTACTATATATATATCGCATATAGTAACTATGCGAGTTAAACCCATACCACTACCAGTGGAGCAACCCCCTGCTGTGGTGATTTTACAACTTTGTACTACGAAAGGGCTACGAAAAGAAATATTCTTTCTCAAAAGCTGAGTGCTAGGCAGTACATACATGTGTATGACACAGTTATGTATGTACCATTTTTTAAGTGGTATGACTCGACCGGGGATTAAACGCACGACCTACCTAATGCAAGGCGAGCACTCTACCCAAATCGGCCATTGCAAAAGGTTAATTATTAATTGGATGTCGCTGTTAATGTTTATTTAAGCTTTACACAGAAGTCTTCAAAGTCTTCGGTATCTGTAAAACCTGCATAACCGCCCAGCGGCACAACACATCAGCTTTGTAGGCACCGCAACAGAAAGGATCAATGCATTGTAACTTTAACCTATTTTAACACAATACAAAACATGTCAGGGGTTTGCAAGACGAATTTTGAGGGACTTTGTCTGGTGCTTCTGGCCAACAATGCACACAGTGCCTATTGTTGAAGGCTAAAGCACATTCATTTCAAAATAAATGTCGAAAAGACTTAGAGATCATCCTTTTTAAATTACGTGATAAAGTATACGAATTACCATTGTCAGTGGCTAAGAGCAATTTTACTCGAGGCCGAGGAGAAAGTACTTCAAATTACTGACCCAAAGAGTTCTGATATCTATTCACAACGACATTTTATTGTGTCTGAATCTATTGTTATTTTTTTTTATTCACCTGGATTCTTGAGCATTGGATAGGAAGCACTTGTTGTGCTTATGTAAATCCGCCGCTCATAAAACATAATACAAAAGAAAACATAGAGATGACATAAAGTATAACATATACATACAATGATAATGGCTGGCGCACCAATACCTATAACATGACATTAATTAGATTGGTCAAATCTTCCAGAGTGGTGGATATAGTCGGACACAATATCAAAGATACGGCAGTTAGTAGGGTATGGGAGGGAGGGGCTACCTGTCAGAAGTAAAGTACATAATGTGGCGTCGTTTGCGTTGAGTGGGTCGGAAGGGAGTATGTTTTCAAGATGAAGACAAAATATGGATAACAACATTTTGGTCCTTTAAGTGTATTATAAAATTTGCAGTGTAATAAATAGTGATCTGGTGTCTCATTTGGATGCCCACATTTGCACTCAGGACTAGTGATACAGTGATGCTGGAATAGGTGGTAGTTTAGCTGGCTGAAACCAAGCCTGAGTCTGGTAAGGTGAGTCACATTGTGTCCGTGGCCGTGTGAGTAGTGAGGATGTCTGGGCATGCTATCAAAGCAAGACTCTAATTCAATTTTGAATGCACGAATGGACGGGGATTCTTTGGCGGTCTGGGGTAACTTGTTCCAAGAGAGAACAGCAGAAGGCAAGTAGGATTTTCGTACTTTTCAGTTTTGAGGGTAAAATGGAGATAATTCTGGTCAGTACGCAGGCCATAAGGGGTGGAATCACGGATAAGTGGGGGAACCAAGTCTTGTAGATATTTGGGAACTAAGCCATTGGCCATTTTGTAGAAGTGAACAAGTTTGAACTTTTCGCGTCTGTTGGCAAGTGTTTCCCAACCGACGTCACATAGAATGCGGTGGTGATTCGTCCCTCTCATTGCGCCTGTGCAAGCTCGGGCAGCGGACACGCTGCTTAAGAACAACACACCAGGCAACGTTGGCGTACTCAAATAAATGGCGTATCATGGCTTTGTACAAGCGTACAAACATTTAAAGCATTTTCCGTGGAACAAAATTTGATATTCTTGTCAACAAGTTAACTCGTTTCATTGCTTCCGTCACCAGAGTTTACACGTGGAGTGACCATGATAAATTTGGAGTGAGATGTAAGCCAAGGTGCTGGTGAGAGAGAGTTTCAGTCAGCTGAACACCTCTAAAGTATAATGGTGGGTGAAGAACCTTTCTTCTTTTAGAGGAAAAAGTCATCAGTTCTGTTTTGCCGGGACAATTGCTATTGTTAATTAAAACAGACAGATGGAAAGCTATCAAATATCTCACAGCTAACTTAAAGAACGCACACACCAAACAAACAGCACTTAGCAATGCGTTTATAACTGTACGCGAAGAATCCAGCTCTCCACACCCAGTCTCTCTCTCCTCTTGTTTCAGATGGAATTCAAATGTCGCCATGTTGATCAAACCTACATGAATAACAAAATTAATATTTGAGTAACAAAATTACTACAAATTCGTTATTCGGCATGCCAAGAATAAAATTCAACATCAGAGATTTAATTTCAATTAAATTAGAGAACGAATGTCCACCATAAGGACTCTGGATTTTGCATGGAGACAATATATTTTGGGGACAAAATACTACAAGAGGTTGCATATAGAAAATATTAAAACCTACAACACAATAAAACCTACAAGCTAACATCAAAATCTCCTGAATTTGGTTTCATACTGATGCAGTAACTTCTACAAATTCGTTGTTCGGCATGCTAAGAATTCATACGCCCAGTCCTGGTTAAATAGCCAAGAATAAAAAGTAAGTCGAAATGTAGAAACAAAGTCCTTCGGTCGCCTATTCATAATACAACCTACATATAAATACCACATGGTAGTCATCGATAAAGGAAATTCTGGACGATTCAACACTTGCTGAGGTACACTGACGTACTTCACGATATTTTCTCCACGGCCGAGCTCCTCACGGCTGCAGAGTCAGTACTGACAGAAACAGAGCGTTCTTTGGGATGCTGCTAGAGAGACTGACTACAGGACTAAGGAACACACACAAGACACAGGCATGGCCAGTTTACACACACACGGGGGGCTCGCTGAGAACTTCTATCTGTGACCTTCTCTCGCCACTGTCCTCTCTTCTCTCAGCGAGCACCCCCTTCCTTTATTCACAGATAATAATAGAACAGTGCGAGGCGGCCGCCTCCTGTTCCCTGCTGGAACCAGCCTTGACGTACTGACATGGAAAAGTAACAGGAAGTTGTCGAACCATCATCAAAAGCGTGGGTTTACATAACTATCAGAGGCATCAAAGTGTGAATAAGGTATTTTACATTTAAAACAAACCGTTAAGTGATAATCATGGAAGGACTTCAGCGCAAAGCCATCTAACACTTAAACCCTAATTCCCGAAAGACCAAAAAAATACTGTTTCAAAATATGCTTACCAAATGTGCCTTTCTGCCCTTCTTACATATGTATACCTATAATTTGTTTAGCTGCAATTAAAGTGTTTGAATATATTAGTTAAACACCTGAAGGCAAGGTTGATAAAGTAGAAATATGGTTTGAATTGGATGTATTAGATATTCTAATAGTAGAAATAAATCGCTAAATTGTACTGAAATTTGTCAAAACCTTACAGAGAAATATTGTCTGTGTAATTTTTTATCGTGTCTTAATATTAAATATGAATGTTTATGATAAACAATGCTGTGGTTATACGTATCAAATGAGTAACATGTTTTCATGCAATGATAATCGCACACAGTTTTATATATATATATAGTTATATCATTATATTATATATAGTTATATCATTACAGTAAAACGGATCTGATTTTATGGATGACCTCCACGCGCGCAGCGATTTCCAGCATTTAAACCAAAAATGAAAAAAAAGACCCGCTACTAGTTTCCGCAACTTGCCATGTAATCTACCAATTTGTGTCTGATTTATTTGATACCGGGTAGAAGTGCCTATTTTAAATTGACCCCATGAGTAGAATCATGAAATGCCTTTTTTTCGATCTAGTGTTCAATATTTAAGTACATGGCCTTCCGGATAGTTTACTCCTACTTCTTTCGCAATGTGTCAATGTGTAGAAGTTTATTACAGAAGTAGGACCTAAAAGAGCAACTTTAGAAGTTAGTTTGTCACACAGACTTCTGCAAGAGAACAATCTACGTCATAAGGGAGACTTAGTATTGAAGTAAGTTTAAGAAATTTTAAGAAATTAAACAGCTTAACTCCCAAAAGAACGAGACGCAAGTTTGTTACACTGCCTTCTAAAACCAGACAAGAAAGTTCAAATGTGGAGGTTAGTGTCTTATACAGTCTTCTGAAAAAGAAGAAAGTACTCCTGGAGAGAGTGTGGAAGTTCGCTTGTCACACAGTCCTCTGAAATACGGCAAGCAACATCCTGACATGTGCAAAATTATATTGTCGCAAAATTTTCTGAAATAGAGATCAAACAGTCTTGAAGTAACAAAATCTATGCATTTTTCTGGTGTGCCCCTCGGCAACGGGCGTTAGCTTTGTGTCTAGGGGATCTCATCCATAAAGTCAGGTCCGTTTGGTTGAAATGTATAATAATGTGTAGATTTATATACAGGCTCACAAGAAGATCTTAAAGTGGTCAAATAAAGTGGTAATACGTATTAAATATTCGTAAGCTCTTGTTGATTTGATTATATTAGATGACATACACACGCGCATGAATTTTGGTACGTTTCCAAAAAATGTTTTCAACCATACTATAAATCGTACACGCAGCTAAATGAGCAAATATTTCCTATAAATTGCAATATTGAAATATTGGAAAATGATATGTTATATTCTGCAAAAGGAAAATATGAAAATGTGAAGAAATGAAAATGAAAGGTCAATTAATTCACCATAAAATACTCCGTGTGCTTAGTCATTTGTTCTATATTCATGTCCACATAGATTTAAACCTTTTCTGCCAAAATGTTTTAATCGCACGCCCGCATCATTGTTGGGTTTCCCATTTTTTCGCCATACCATACTCTGTGTGCTTAGTCATTTGTTCTACCTTCATGTCCACATAGATTTTTTTTTGCCAAACTTTTTTTTAATCGCACGCTCGCATCAGTGTTGGGGTTTCCAGATAATCCCATCCATATAATC